TTATGTATATAGATATATATATTATTTCGTTCTACGTGTATTTTGATATATATATATATATATATATATATATATATATATATATTAATTTCACAAAACAGAACGAAATAACACACATCTATATATTTTTTAATTATTTATTTTTAATTATTTTTTTAATTTTATTTTTTAACGTATTTACATTTTTATTTTTTTTATATTATATATAAATATATATATAACAATAATTATATATATATTTAATCAGTATCAGTCTACGTGTAATTTGATAATATATATATATAATTATATATATATTAATAGTAAAATACACCTAGACGGTGTATGTGTGTGTATGTATATGTGTATATATATACTTAGATCATATATATATAATATATACATATGATCTAAGTATATATAATTATTTTTTTTTACACCATTAACTTTTTATTTTATTTTCAGCCAGCAGGGGGACCACCTGTAATTACAGGCAGCCCCCCTGCCGGCAATACAGAAGCCAGCTATACCCGGCCATGTGATTGTGGGGTCCTCGCTAGGACCCCACTCTCACATGGCCGGGGGGCTTCAACGAGGACGGATGTGCCGCGGGGGGCTCCCTGGGAGTCCCCCCCACCGCGATCGCCGGCGTGGGACCGCCGGCGACCGGGTAAGTTAACAAAAACCGGAGGGCGTACAATTACGCCCGGCGGCGTTTAGAGCCGCCTATTAGAGGGCGTAATTGTACGTCCTCCGGTTTTAAGGGGTTAAATAGATTCAGGGAATTCATGCAAACTGAACATCTTGGCCTAATGTAATTAAACAACTTTGATTTCACAAAGTGATTAACCCTTTAAGGACTGAGCCAAATGTACACGTTGTGAACAAAACAAAACCTGGCATTTGCACTATATGTCTGTCCAACCGTAATTCACCTCTTTCATATTAAATGCACCCACCCTTATTACATATCATTTTATTCAGGGGAAACAGGGCTTTCATTTAATATCAAATATTTAGCTATGAAACATAATTTAATATGAAAAAAAATGGGAGAAAATAAGACTTTTTTTTTTTAGTACTACATGACATTTTAACTGTCAATGTCATAATACTGCTTGCTTTTACTGCAATAAAATACACATATTTGTATTCAGCAAAGTCTCACGTGTAAAACAGTACCCCCTATGTACAGGTTTTATAGTGTTTTGGGAAGTTACAGGGTCAAATAAAGCATGTTACATTTGAAATTGAAATTCGCCAGATTGGTTACGTTGCCTTTGAGACTGTATAGTAGCCCAGGAACTAAATTTAAACCCATAATGGCATACCATTTGCAATAGTAGACAACCCAAGGTATTGCAAACAGGGTATGTCCAGTCTTTTTTAGTAGCCATTTGGTCACAAACACTGGCCAAAGTTAGCGTTAGTATTTGTTTGTGTGTGAAAAATGCAAAAAACGCCAATTTTGGCCAGTGTTTGTGACTAAGTGGCTACTAAAAAAGACTGGACATACCCCGTTTGCAATACCTTGGGTTGTCTACTATTGCAAATGGTATGCCATCATAGGGGTAATTTTCATTCTTGGGCTACCATAGGGTCTCAAAGGCACCGTAACCAATCTGGCGAATTTTAATGTGAAAAAAATGAAACACAAACCTTATATTTGAAGCTGTAACTTTTGAAAACACCATAAAACCTGTACATGAGGGGTACTGTTGTACTCGGGAGACTTCGCTGAACAGTAAAAAGTATCACAGCAATAATATCGTCCGTGTAAGTGCTGTTTGTGTGTGAAAAATTCAAACAACGTCACTTTTACTGGCGATATCATCATTGTAATACATTTTACCATTTTGAAACACTAATATTTGTGTTTAGCGAAGTCTCCCGAGTAAAACAGTACCCCCCATGTACAGGTTTTATGGTGTCTTGGAAAGTTATAGGGTTAAATATAGTGCTAGCAAATTAAATTCCCTATACTTTCGGCATGGGTTGTCTAGCAGGTCCCGCTAGTTGTAATTAATTAAGATGGAGTAGGTGATGTGTAGAGTCCCACAAGCCGTAACCAACATCAGGAGAGCTCCACTGTATAAGAAATGAGGAAGGGAGGCCCTGCCTTTAATCAATCTAAGGATAAAAAGGGATATGCAAACAAAAAGTATAACTTGAAAAAAAGGGAGATCTACTAAACGGTGCCCAGAGGATCAATTGTCTGGAGTACTAGCTAGCATCTAAGGTCCAGTTCCCCTAGTGTCCGACTGACAGGAAGGTAGTGTAAACGAACCTCGGGTAAGTAAAAAAAAAAAAACGGAGGGCGTACTATTACGCCCTGTGGCGTTTAGAGCCGCTTAGAATAGGGCGTAATAGTACGCCCTCCGGTTTTAAGGGGTTAACCTGGAGTTTGGAAAAGCACATTTATTTAACCCTGAAGGTGGACAGCGTGGCCAGGGTAAGGTGAGAAACTCAGTCACAGAAAATGAAAAGCTTTGACCATTGGAAGGAAGCAACATGGCCTCCCACTGCAGACAACTTGGCTGGTGAAATGGAGTATGAGGGAACACCTGGTATTACAGGCTGATAATTCACCCGGGGAGAGTACTCCATAGCCAGCCAGAGGCCCCTGGAGGGGGCAGGAGTGTGATGGGGGCAGGAAGGTGAGGGGGGGCAGGAGTGTGTGAGGGGGGCAGGAGGGGGGGGCAGGAGGAGTGAGGGGCAGGAGTGTGGGGGGCAGGAGTGGGCAGGAGTGTGAGGGGCAGAAGTGGGCAGGAATGTGGGGTGCAGGAGGTGGGGGGCAGGAGTGTGAGGGGGGGCAGGAGTGTGAGGGGGGCAGGAGGTGAGGGGGGGCAGGAGTGTGAGGGGGGGCAGGAGGAGGGGGGGCAGGAGGTGGAGGGGGGGCAGGAGTGTTGGGGGGCAGGAGTGTGTGGGAGGCAGGAGTCTGGGGGGGGGCAGGAGTCTGGGGGGGGCACACAGTGTTTAGTATCTGTGGAATCTGTTAGGGGGAAGAATAGGTAAATCACCTCAGTCTATGCAATGGCTGCTGACTTTTAAACCTGTCTAATTTTTAATATTAATTTTTTGGGAGTTTCCTTTTATTATGCCCCCTGGATCTTACTTAGTAAACTCACCTACTTGGCGATGGCCTTTATATTATTCCTGGTGCTGGGTCTCAATATCTGTGTGCAGCCATTTTGTTCTGCTCTGCCTCTGATGGCTGCCACCTGCCTTCTGTGTGACCGATGCATTGTGGGTAAATGTGATTAGTAACTGAAATAGAACCTTGCTTTAAGCCCCGCCCACCATGACCTGACTGCTATATATAAGGAGAATAGCCCCTAGTTTTATTGATGTATTCAGATCAGATCAGATTCTGAGCTATACGGAGGCAGATTAAATAAAGCTTATTTTTGGTGACAGGGCTTCTTTAGTTTCCCTCTTTTTCTTGATATAACCATCCACCATTACATCTGCAAATGTCAGCAGTTGCTCCTTAAAGGAACACCCCAGGCACCATAACAAAATCTACATGAAGTTGTTATGGTGCCTGGAACCCCCGACGCACTCTTACCTCAAGGGGTTAAACCATTCTCTAATGTTTTAACCCCAAAGTTGCCTCTCCCACCCCCCCTCCCCCTCATGCCCTCAGTTTGCCGTTGATTGGTTCCCCATTCACAAAAGTGGCTTTTAAAAGAAACTAACCTTCTTCAAGCCAGTCTTGTGATTAGGGAGCCACCGAGAAAACGGTTTAACCCCTCGGGGTAAGAGTGCACCTGGGGACCTCCTGGCACCATAACAACTTCATTTAGAGGCACTGCAATTTAAAAAAAAACCTGCAGTGTTTTACAAAGCAGGACTAAGGGGTCCAGGGACACTGCACAATGAGCTGAAATGGTCTGGGTGACTATACTGTCCCTTTAAAGGCTCAGCTCCTAATACACCTCAGCATTGACTAAACCGGAAGGCTGGAAAAAGCCTCATGGGAGTTGTAGTTCAAACACACCTAGAATTTGAGCAACCCCGAGCGAGTTGTTCCAGTTGCAAGATGTGGACTTTGATGCTCTCTCTCTGTTTTGTATACATAGGATATTGAGAAGTAACAATTATCTATAAGCGTCAAATACATAGAAAACAAGAATTTGTTGATAACAATTGTCTGTATGGTTTGTGAATCAAGATGTGTTTAAGTAAATACAAAAACAAAGAACAAAGATAACCACGGTAGGATGGTATGGACTGTATGTTGGAAGTTTTCCCCTTCGGTTAGCTTGCCCATGCTATTGCGTCTTGCCCAAGGGTGCGTGTGGGATCCCCCCTCATGGGGAATGCTGAAGGTACGTGCACCACCAGGACCAGATAGATGTGTAAGAGTGGTATCTGTCTGAGACGGAGTAGCAAATTTCCTCCATATTCCTAGTGGTTTCCACTCTTTGGATCTCTTATGGGTGGCGGGTTTGATTTTTTCCAGTATATAGGGATCAATTGGTTTGCCGCTGTTATCAAATGTAGGAGTAGTTGAGTTTTTTTCTTTGGGAAAGTTTGGTGGTGTGAGAAGAATGATGAAAGAATCTGGGGTTGGGGTCAGTTTTCCCCCCAGTATCGTCTGTATGAGGCTAGAAATGTGCCCCCAGTAGGTTTGTATTTCTGGGCAGGACCACCAGATGTGTGATACTGTGCCTGAGGGGTGATGGCATCTCCAACATTGATCACAGGATTGGGGGAATATGGCTCTTAGTCTCGCTGGAGTATAATACCACCTGACTATTCTTTTATAGTTACTCTCTTGGGTCTGTGTGTTTCTAGATGTTTTGTGAATACTTCTAAAGATTTTGCGCCACCTATCAGGTGGTATGATGATATTGAGCTCCGATTCCCATGCAGAAGTGAAGGCCTGAGGGTGTTTGGGCTGTATGGAGAGAAGGAGAGTGTACATGACAGAGATAAGCTTCTTTTTTAATATGTGCCCCTTGCAATAGTTTTCAAAGGGTGTTAGTTCTCGGAGTGCCCTCTGAGCCAAGTGTCCTTTCTTTAAAAAGTGTACCATTTAAATGTATGAAAACATTTGCATTGCTGTGATATCAGTCTCCGGTAACAATTTGTGTAAAGGTTTGATTTCATTCCCTTCAATTACTGCCTCCACTGACAAGTATTGTGAGTTATGATATTGCTTATCTATTTTCCTATCTGCTCCAGGAGGGAACAAGGGGTTGTGAGTGATTGGATACAGAGGTGAGGGATAGGGGGATATGTCCTGATGTGAGCACATGTGCGCCCATAGTCTGAGCGTGGGGGTGATGGTAGGATGTGTGCCATGGTGTAGTAGGAAAGATCCTATCTTGTGCCACGGGATTGTGTAGATCTGGGTTCTGAAATAGGCGGCTTCCAGTTTCACCCATTGCTTATCTGAGTGTGGGTTGCACTATTCGTATACTCTAGTGAGCAGAGTTGCTTTGTGGTATAATTCCACATCTGGGAGGCCAAGCCCCCCCCTCATCTTTTGGTCGTTTAAGAAGTGAAAAGGATAATCAGGGTTTCTTATTGGCCCATATGTAGGTGGTGAATAACTTGTGGAGGGTATTGAAAAAGTATTTGTGCAGGTAGATCGGTAGGACTTGCAGTAAATAAAGGATGCGGGGTAGCACATTCATTTTTAGAATGCTTATTCGGTAAAACCATCCGAAATGGGGCATGTTCCAAGACTTAAGGTCCGTAGTTATTCTTTGGATCACTTCGGGGAAGTTGAGATCGTATATCTGAGAGATGTCATTTGGTATGTGTACCCCTAGGTATTTAAGTGACCCCAAGTAAATGGATAATCCTGTCATAGTTGTTCTGCAGTTTGTGAGGGAAGTGTGATCGGGAGGATTTCACATTTGCTTAAGTTTGCCTAAAAGTTTGAAAGTTTACAGTATAATGTCATTTCCCTCATGATATGTGGTAAAGAAATGGAGGGATGTGTGATTGTGAAGAGCATATCATCTGCAAATGCGCCTATCTTGTGGATTGTGTTTCCTACTTGGATCCCATGTATGTGCGGATTCTCTCTGATGCCCTGTAAGAATGGTTCCAGGACCAGTGCAAATAGCAAAGGCAAAAGAGGGCACCCTTGTCTTGTGCCATTGGAGATTCGCACCGGGTCTGATAATTGGCCATTGATGCGAATATGTACTGTGGGTGTGGAATAAACAGCTTCCAGCCATTTCATCCAATTGGGACCAAAGTCCATATGTTGAAGTGTGAGCCTCATCAGGGTCCAGTCTACCTTGTCGAGCGCTTTCTCGGCGTCAATCGACAGGAGTAGGCTGGTGTCTCCCGAGTGCTTTGCGTGGTGTATGAGGTTTAGGATCTTGGTTGTGTTATACTTAGCCTGCCTCCCCGAAACAAATCCCGACTGGTCTGTGTGGATCAAATCCTGGAGGATTGGGCGTAAGCGATTGGATAGAATTTTGGTGAATAATTTGAGGTCAATGTTAATTAGGGTTATTGGTCTATAACTTCCGCATTGTGTGAGATCTTTGCCTGGTTTGGGCAAGAGTGTGATGGTGGCATTTAGTGCTTGTGGTGGGAGAGTGGAGCATTGCAATAGGGAGTTAAATGAATTTAGGAAGGGTTGTGCCAGCTGTGTTGAGAATGTTTTTGTCAGGAAACTGACAGGGATCCAATACGCAGAGTGCGCACAGAAGGAGGTACGTATACCGGACCTTAGAATGGCCGGACTAACGTAAGGACAAGCAAGAATAGTCAAAAGGTAAGCCGAGGTCAAGGGAGCCGGAGGACAGGTAAGCGAGATACAAGCCGAGTCAAAGGAGAGGAGAGGACAACAGGACAAAAGACAAGCAAGGGTCAAAACCGGAAACACAAGATAAAGAACGCGCTGAGTGACTAGCAAGCTAGAACCACGACAGGGCAATGAGCAGTAGTAAAGGTTTCCTTTAAATACCCTGTACCTAAATAGAGACCACGCCCCCAAAAGGTCCGGAATAGCGGTTCCCGGCACTTTATGCAAATGCCGACGTCATGACGTCGACGCTAGCCGTCGCGTCATAAAAGGGGGAGGAGCTAGCGCGGCCGGCGCGAAAACGGCCGGAATATGCCGAAATGCTAAGGGAAGGGAGCCCCTAAGCAGAGAGGATGTCCTCCCTGGATACATCACCAACAGGTACCCTGACAGTTTTATAGTATTTTGCCGTAAAGCCATCTGGGCCTGGGCTTTTCCCCAATGGTAAATGTTTGATTGTCTCTTGATATTCTTGAATGGAAAGAGGTTGGTCCAGGGAGTGTCTAAGGTTAGGCCTTTGGTCCAGGGAGTGTCTAAGGTTAGGCCTTGGTTATGTCTGGCATGAGGTGAGAATTTTTGCCCTCTCTGTTTTTTATAGCAGCTATGAAGGTTCTTTCTCTCTGTTTTTTTTTAGTGCATGTGCTAAAAGACGGCCGCATTTGCCTCCCTGTGCGTAGTAAAGGCTCTTCGTGAGTGTCAGTTTACGTTAGGTTTGGGTACTTAGGTGAATGTTGAGTTCTGTTCTTTTTTGAATCAGTTTATTGTATGTATCCAGAGTTAGGTTGGCTTTGTGAGTCTCTTCCAGCCCCCTGATTTCCCTGAGGAGTTGCGTTACGTGTGTGCTCTGTTGCTTTTTATGATTGGAGGCCAGTTGGATGAGTGTACCCCTGATTGGGCATTTGTGTTCCTCCCAGATATTCGGGTATGTGGATTCGGGGTGTTGTTTGTTGGCGAAAAAGTGTTCTAATTCTGCTGAAATACGGTTGAATATTTCGGGGTCATTTAGGAGCGTGTCATTAAGTTTCCATTGGGACCTTGACGTGTATAAGGAAGTGATAGTTATGGTCATGGCAAGTGGAGCATGATCAGACCAGGTGATCGGGCCATATGAGCAAGAGGATATCAGGTTGAGGAACCTGTGGGGGAGGAAGAACAAGTCAATCCTCGAATAAGAGCCTGTTGTATGAGAGTAATAAGAGTAATCCCTTTGAGATGGGTAACATGATCTCCAATAGTCGAATAGTTGGTGCGAGACTAATAGGCATTGGGTATTTGCTCTAGTTGATGTGAGGTATGTGTGAGCGTGGGAGGTAGTGTCTAGAGTGCTGTCTAGTGAGATATTGGATTAAGAGTCCCTCTGTGAAAGACTCCAGTTTTTTGAGTATCTTGTTGAAAGCTGAGAGTTGTTTCCTATTGGGTAGATATATGTTTGCCAGGGTGGTCGTGGTGTTACCTATTATTCCCTTTAGGAATATGAATCTCCCTTGCTCATCTTCTGCGTGTTCCTTGTATGTGAAAGGGAGACGAGAACTCAGTATGATTGCCACTCCCCTGGATTTGGACTCTGAGTAGTTGCTAAAGTAGCCCTTTAGATATTTATTGTTTTTGAATGAGGGAGCAGAACCTGCTCTCTCTATTCTATCTCTGAGTACCCAGTGCGTTTCCTGACTCAGACACCAGGTGACTGTGGATGTAGCCTCTGTGAAATTCCTGTGGATTAGAGAAACACAATAAACATCTCTATCTAATGCGGTCAAGACGCATCAGCTCAAACAGCTCAGTAGCTGATACTTTATACGATGCAGATGCTTGCACTGTACGTGTCCCCTGTTAGATGCTCTACTGTGAGTTGTAAAATCTAGTTCATCAATAACCTTTTTACCTCCCTGCGGAAGCATCAAAACTCATATAAGAGCCATTGCTCATGGTTGCATACCAAGAGGGTCTTCTTACGTGTCCTTATATGGCCAGAGTTTTAGGTAAAAGGTCTTACATCATTATGATCATAGCTCTATAGCAGGGCTGCCCAAAAGGTAGATCCCCAGAACAGGGCCGGACTGTGAAAAAAATTAGGCCCGGGCATTTTTCAATCAGAGCGGCCCCCCATTATGCCTGGGGGGTGGGGAGCCATGCTGCCTTCCCTGGTGGTCCAGTGGTGAGAGTGAACTCTAACCTGCAGGCTAGAGTTCACTCTCCCGAGAGAGCGTTGCCGCGGCAATGCTCAGAATCCCGCGAGAGGACCGGCGGAGCTGCTGGTTAGAGCTCTGCCGGGTCCTCTCTCCTCCTTCCCTCACCCAGCCGGCGGCCGCATCTCCCTGTCTGTGGGCCGGTGAGGGAGATCTTTGATCTACCCACCAGCCCATGGAGGCACACAGCAGGGCCGGCGCTCGGATAGCACTGGCCCTGCAGGGGCCGGCCGGAGAGATCCCCTGCCGGCCTGGGCCCCAGGCCATCGCAGCCCACTGGGCATTTGCCCGGTATGCCCGATGGCCAGTCCGGGCCTGCCCCAGATGTTGTATAACTAAAACTCCTATGATGCTTTGCATGCCTTTTTGGGCAAAGGACCACACAGGCTTGTTGTCTGTTTGTTCTCTGACTTTGAAGACTTCTCTCTGCCTTCCTGAGTCTATCAATTAAAGGAACACTATATGGTCAGGAAAACAAAATTCCTGACACTATAGTTTTAAAACTGTTTAGGTCCCGGACTCCTTGTCCCCACTTAAAAAGATGAAAAACTCCCATTTTCCACCAGCACCACACCACCTCCTTGGCTGGGATCAAACTTGATTATCTCAGCTAATCCAATGCTTTCTCATAGGAAATCAATGGAAGGCTATTGCGCATGCGCAGAAAAATGCTGCACTGCGCCAATCAGCATCTCCTTATAGAGGTACATTAAATCAATGCATCTCTATGAGGTATGTTCAGCATTTCCATACAGAGCGCGGAGACACTGAATGTTAGTACTGCACATTGAGCATTACTGACCCAGGAAACACCTCTTGTGGCTGTCTGACTGCCTCTGGAGGTGTCACTAGGGAGCAGTGGTGGATCCGGGGGGGGCAACGGGACAATTGCCCCCCCCCCCGAGAAATCCGACGGTCTCCCTCTCCCCTTCCAGCACATGTAGGTGCTAGCAGTGCAATGTGCCTGCGGACCGGAGGGGAGATCAGAGATCTCCCTCCCCGGTCCGCAGGCACTGTGTTGACGGCCGGCAGGGGAGGGATAGGGAGGAGAGAGAGGACCCGGGAGCTCAGGCTGCAGCCCCTCCGGGTCCTCCTCTCGCGAGATTTGGAGCGTTGTCGTGGTTACCACGGCAATGCTCCAAATCTCGCGAGTGTGAACTCTAGCCCTGGAGCGCGGGCTAGAGTTCACTCCTACCACTGGGACCACCAATGAATCCCCCACTGGACCACCAGGGACTAAGAAGTGTCCCCCCACCCCCCCAGTAAAGGTAAGAATGGAGGGGGGACATAGAATATTTATATTAAATAA